TATTACGTACCTAATATGAAAGTAACATTCTCACTTGGACAACTTTTGGAAAAAGGATATATTGTTCATATGGAGGGTAATAATCTTCGACTAAAAGATAATAGTGGAAGATTAATTGCTAAATCGAAAATGGCGAAGAATCGCATGTTTCCGCTGCAACTTAACACCGAGGTTCAAAAGTATTTTTATGGTGTTATGGAGAATGAGTCATGGAAATGGCATAAACGTTTTGGGCAATTGCATTTCAATGGCCTAAAACTTTTGCAATAAAAGAATATAGTACATGGATTACCTACCATTGAAGACCCTAAACAAGTTTATGAAATATGCACTGGGAAACAAGCTAGACCTCCATTCTAAAAGGGATTATCATGGAGAGCTAAAGCACCATTAGAATTAGTACACACAGATATATGTGGACCATTGGAGCCAATTTCTTTGGGAGTTAATCGCTATTTTATTACTTTCATTGATGATTATAATAGAAAATTATGGGTGTATATGCTGCATTGTACATTAAGGCTCGAGTAAAGCTAGAAAGCGGACGTAAGTTGAAAACGCTTAGGTCTAATAAGGTGGCGAATATACATCAAGAATACTCAATTAGACAACAAACATCCTCATATATACCACAACAAAATGGACAAGGAAGAATTGAACAATTCTAAACATGACGCGAGACATTTTGAAAGAAAGAGGATTACGTAAGCAATTCTTGGCAGAAGTTGTTGCATGGACAACTTATATTCTAAATCGTTTTCATACAAAGAGTGTAAGAAAATATGATACCACAAGAAGCATGGAGTGGTGAGAAGCCAAATGTTGAACATTTTCAAGTATTTAGGTACATAGCTGCAACACCCCAAATAATTCTTCCTTTACCAAACGAATTAATTTAAATAAAATAGAGGAGAACCATTGACATGTTACCGTCACGTGTTAAAACGTTAAGACTTTATCAAAGTATCGCAACGGAAAATCCAACTTAAATCTTAAAATAATATAGTAAAGAAAACCAATAAGTCAAAGCTTACAAACTGGAACCATAAAAACCTTATTTAAAACCAAACCAATATTTAAAACCCAAATCATAAATTAATACCAAAACATAAATAAGTTCAACACAAAGAACGAATGCTCTTAATCACACCAATCCCTCGACGATGCGTATGTCAAATCCTTGAACTTCACAACATCAAGCTCCCCAATAATATAAGTGTAATAATTGGATCATTACAGAAAGGCAAAGACAATGACCAAAAGAAAACACACATAAAAGCACACAATCAGAAATAACTACAATATACCAAACCTAGCATGCTCAAATAATTAAAGTAAATAAACATTCAACATGAATTCATTAACCAAGTTTCCACACTAACATAGTTCAATCAATTTAACATACTTACTAACTAATTCTATACACTTGACTCTTTATATTTAATTTAATTAATTTAATTTGGAGTAAGCAATAGACGAGGTTGTCCAAACCACCAAATCATTTTGGTCCCAAATGACCATTTAAAATAAAAGTTTAGAACGATGCAAGAATGAGCGTGACTCCATTCTTTCAAAGTTAGTCTATGATCCCATTTAACTTTCATCATAAAATAAAAATGTAAATACCAAAAGAAAAGGGGACATGTTGATTAAACAAGCCTCATACCACGGGCTACCACTGTGTAACCCAACCTATAATTGTCAATACTCTAGATGATCACGCTTTCCAGAGTTTTATTATTGTTCATCCATGTTTCACTTTACGTGATTACAAGTTCAATTAATAGCCGACTCATTCAAGTAGACTATACATAACAATTATACTTACAATTCACTTTTAATCTTATTTAGGACAACGATGAGCACATCACAAATTGACCTTTAATTCCATTAAAATTCCAAGATATCCAAAATTGTGGAATATAGTCAACCCACCTAGCCATTTTGGCTTAATCCACATATACTCAACATACTAACAAGACATGTTTGAGTAACAAATAAAATGATAATAACTTTATGGAATAATTAATGAATTCATTCCACTTAGGCCATTAAATTTCAATCCTTCAATAATCCAAACGTGGTTAATAAACCAACCCAATAAAAATATGCTTGTATCAACATTCCATACAAACAATTAATCCAATTCAATATGCGTGCGTCTATAATTCCATACAAACATAATCAATCACCAAAACATGTCTCATAAACATAAGCACATGCATTAATTCCAATGTTTTACCAAACAATTTCCATCCAAGTTTTATCTAAACATGAAATTAAGTTCTTTTATTTTTTGGTACCTAAACATGATACTACTTACAACGAAGTAGACATATACGTATCTCGTATAAATAATTCTTTGTGCCACTTTTAATCAATTAAAAGTTTCCTAGGGAATAATCACTTCCTAGAAAACAACCAATAATAAAAAATTAATACCTAAACTAATTCCAGCAATATAAATTTGATTAAATTTCCTTAAAACTTTCTTTAAAACATATTTTTATGCTAAATTAATCATTAGAAATACAATAGGAACAAAGCCTCAATTTAATTGTTCATATGGACCTTAAAACTATAAAATCTGAAAATTTATAACACAATTATAATCTGAAATTATAACTTTAAATCATTACAAACATGATTTTGATGCTAAATAAACTAATTTTAAAAAATAAAATAAAACCTAAAACAAATAAATTAATTTTAAGCAAAAATAAAAAAAAGGAAACAACATAGGAGAAAAGGGAATGGGCCATGGTCGGGACGCTGGTAGGTCGCGACCGACGGTGGTGAGGGCAACAGGCAGCACCAGCTAGTGTTGGGTGGCCATGGTGTTTCATGTAGGAAGGAGGAAAGGAAAAGAAAGAAAGAAAAAAAAGGAAAAAGAAAAGGAAAAATAAAAGAAATAAAATAAAGGAGAAATAAAATAAGACTAACTTTTAGTGTGGGGAAAAATTTGGGGATTCATGGGATATTTATAGGAGAGAGAGCTATATGGTAAGTAGGAAGATTGAGTTTCATAAAAATAATGAGCTAATTAAATAAACAAATGGGTTAGACTTTGTTTTTATGAGCAAAATTTGTAGAATGAAGGTTCATAAAATAATTTGTGCTAAAATATTATTTAATCCTAATTAATAATTTGAAACTTTTTCAATTAAATTCCAGAAAAATTCAAATAAATAATATAAATAAAATAAAATTTCATTTATTAAATATTTAAAAATACGAGGGATTACAATAGCCTATGCCAAATACCCGTGGCAAAGAGAAAGAAGTTAGATGATCGAGGTGAAAAATGTATCTTCATTAAATATAGTTTACAATGCAAAGCTTATAAATTATACAATCCTATCACTGGAAAGTGGAAAGTGGAAAGTTGATTGAGAGTAGGGATGTAATATTTAGCGAAGGAGAATCCTGAAAATGGGATGATAAAAAGAAAAAAGAGAAAATTGTGGTTGAAGACTATAATGATATCACAGAAAAGAGTTATGAAAATACTCAACCAAGGACACTAAAAAATAATTTTGATTCATCATCATCGACATCATCAGAAGGATCACATCAACATAAAAATAACCTGTTAAATATGAAGAGACAAATGAAGTTGATTCATTCTGCTTTTATGCAGACCACGGACCCATTATTTTTGTAGAAGCATTAGGAGAAGAAGAATGGAAATCTTGTACCAAGGAGGAGATTCGGTCAATAGAGAAAAACGATACATGGGAGTTGGCTACATTGCCAAAGGGCCATAAGACCATAGGTGTAAAATGGGTTTATAAGATAAAAAGAGGTGCAGATGGAAGTGTTGGTAGATACAAGACAAGACTTTTGGCAAAAGGATATAGGCAAAAGTATGGTGTTGATTATGATGAAGTATTAGCTCCTATAGCTCGTTTAGACACTATGGCTCTATATATGTTTTTCAATAAGTGTTTTATGCTTTGTTCACATGGAAAAAGTGTTGTGTTACTCGGCCTCTTCATTTTACCTTAAATACCCGTGTCGGTCCCTCAACACTAGGACATGGGTATGACATTTAGACGCAACATTTAAGTTAAAAATTATGTATTTTTTTTCCACAAAATAGGCGGGTCGAAGATTTAGACACGTACTCGTGTCGGACATGTGTACACGATTTCAAGTAACATGGAGAAAAAGTCTTCTAGGTTGGGTGATTAACTGCTTATTAGCCACTGAAGGAAATAACGTTATGTATCTATAATTTCTGCTTCTATAGGATATACAAACTGCTATATACATTTTTTCAATAAGTGTTTTGTGCATTGTTCACATAGAAAAACTCTTCTAGGTTGGGTGCTTATTAGCCACTGAAGGGAGTAACTTTATGTATCCATAATTTCTGCCTTTCTAGGATATGTTTACCTCTATATTTTTTCAATTAGTGTTTTGTGCATTGTGGGTAAGCCATCTCTTCTAGGTTTATATATAAATGCATTTTTCTATGGTAAATCCTGCTGGCAGAATTCTATAGTATTGTGTGATACCTCCGTTTCTTTATGTTCTTAAATTTTTCGTTTTTATCTTTCTCATAATTTTTTTAACATATATACTTCATTCCAAGTTTGGCAATATCTTTACTACCTTACCCTTCTTTTCTAACAATATTTACCCTTTCCACTCATTTTCTTCTATATCCACCTTTGTTCTTACACCTCCCCACCTTTGTACGCTCTTTATCTTACATTTTTCACCTTATTCATACCTACCTTCACCCACACTCTCTCCTTTATCTGCACAAACAGCAAATGATGAGAACATCACGAAACAGAAGTAGTGTTACTAATGATAGTTGTTGACCAAGCTGTATTGAGCAAGAGATCCAGCCATCTCCAATTCTCAGCTTGATGAACTTTTTTACGCCTATGAATTTGCATTTAACCCTATTCTTTTGACTGAAGGTCTCGTTATTTACATACATCATGTATCCTCTTATCTATCAAATCTAATTGCTTGTTAGTAATTAGGAGGCCAGGGGACTTGATGCAGGACCGCGACTTGTGAAAAAGTTGATTGGATTTGGAGATAAACAAACTTCAAGAATAGTAGCTCAAATCGCTGATGAAGAAGTTGCTCATGTTGCTGTTGGAGTATATTGGTTCTTCTCTGTTTGTCAAAAGATGGGGCGAGTCCCTTGTTACACTTTCAAAGGTGTCAACTTTATGTGTTTTTTTTTTCACAAAATATAATATTTTTTTAAACTGTGGACTTGTACCCTATTCCGATAAATTTAGTTAGTATTTATCTTCAATAATATGTATACCTTTCCATTTTTATTTTGGTTTTGTTTTTGGCTGATAATGCGATTTGTGGTGCAGATCTGCTAAAGGATTATGATATAGAAGTTAAAGGACCCTTCAATTATTCAGCTCGAGATGAGGCTGGCCTGCCCCGCCATTGGTTAGTCAAATTCTTTATTAAACTGATGCTGTGGTACTGACAGTTGACAAATGCAAATAAAAATAAAAATGCTTTCTTGAATTTTCTTTCGAATATGGATTTAAAAAAAAAAGTCATTATGCCTGAGGGATTAGTCTTTCTATTGTTCAACTCTAGATGAGTTTGGCTAACCCTACCTTTTGTTAGTCCAATTTATTATCTAGTGTCCATGTTAGGTAGATTGATATTGCTGCAACGACAATTTGTGCAGCAGATATGCTTGCTAATTTTCCTTTAAAGATTATTTGCACTTGTAATGTTCTTTAAATAGTAAATCAATTCGGCTCAACTAATTGTTAGCCCTTTCCTATGATAAGGTCTTATGCCTTATTCTGCCTTTCACCCACCTGCACAAGTAGCTATTTTCGTTGTTCATTGTTCAGCAAGACATGATAATGAAGTCAGTGAAAAATGTAAAAAAATGTTTGAGGGTTGTAGTTGGAATGTACTTAATATTTATGGCTATGTTTCGTGACTGAGATGCCTAAAAATACTTTCTGAATGTTTGGTATACTATTCTGGATAAGAGGTTATAATTGTATTACAAACCTAAGGAAATAATACGTTAAAAGCAGCGTTGAATGGAAATCGTGTAATGAATAGCGATGGGTTTTATTAGAACTCAAAGTTGTAATAGTTTTTATTGAAATTGTGAAACACTAAAGTAGAACTCTAGTAGACAAGTACTGACTGATTTATAACTGTATGAAATTTGACGTGTTTTCTTTAACTGACAAGCTTTCTCCCTCTTACTCCAATAGTATGTCTTGTTGTTAGCTCTAAGTTGAGTTTTGTGCAAGTCTAATGTTGGAGTAATACTAATAACACCAGCCTCGCAATGAGCATAGGTACATCAGATGAAGAGAAATGGATTGTATAGCAGGAGAATATTGACATGATCACCCCTTTTTTTGTGACACAAACTACCTAATATCTGTTGTGCCTGGTGGTGTACCGTGGTGTGTTACTAATGATGATATAGAACCTGTTTTGGGAGCATTTATGCCTTTGATAAAATCGGAGAAATGAAATCAGAAGAAAAAAATTGTGAAATATTGGTTAGATTTCAAGGCAACGATGGAATATTTGTTCAGCTTCTAGTAGAATTGATGTCTTAAAAATGATTCCACATTTACGGATTGAAAACTTGGTGATATTGTTATCATGTAATCTCCCAACTTATAAGTAGCTCATTGGCAAAAACTTTGGAGCATTGATTCGTCTATTCAAATATTCACAACACGAGAAATGGGCTGGAATCTAAGCTTGTTGACAAGCTTGTGTTATTCAGTATTCACTCTGATGTTTGGTGTTCTTTAATGTTAAACATGTAGTTTTCTTTGTATTCTTCAATACAACATATCTTTAATAGCTGTTTACTACAGATATTATCAATATGGAGGTGTGGAAAAACTTGAATTTGTTATGCTGAAAATCACCCAAGTCTAGTTTCCGATTAAACTTTAAGTCTGGTTCTTCAATTTACTATCCTGTACGAGATATACCAGTTGTCTCTTCTCTGACAATTGAATGTAGACTGACTTTTATTCAATCTTGTTTCCAGGTATGATGCATCATCAACTGACGATCAAAGCAAAGAGCAGCTTTCCGAGGTGTGTTGTGACTGTTGTCTGTAGGTTTTTGTTCTGATAAATGCATAAATCTACTATTTAATAATATAAAAGTTCTCCATTTCACAAACTTGTCAGGTATATGAAAGACTTGCTCATATAATTGAGATGGAGAAGGAAAATGCCAATTCAAGCAGCCACCCTAGGTGATTGTAGAAGAAATGGTCACAGAATCACAGCTTGTGGAACTTCTCCACCCCGTTTTTCTTCTAAGCTAACTTGTGACTGTCATTTGACTAATTCTTATAACACCATGTCACCTATGATCTAAAAAGTTATATTTTGTGTTCTAACTTGTAAAGATTAACCTGTTTCCCTCTTTTAAGACAATTGCATGCAGGATCTACTCCACGAGAAGTGGCATGAACGTAGATGATATATTGAGATATTATGACATATTGGTGAATATATTTTGTTATATATGATAATATTGTATAATTGTGAAAGATATTGTAGAGAATATTGTGGTATATCTTGGCCTTGCCCTCCAAGTATACCTAGGCTATAAATATTGTATGTGGCCGTTCATATTGAATGAGAATTACATAGAGAATTATTCAATTATATTATATTTTAGCATGGTATACAAAGCCTGAGTGAGATCCACAATTTTTTTTTGAACATTGTTTTTCATAAACATTGTTCAATCTTGTGCGTGTGTGTGAGAGTTCAACACAATTCAATTTTTTTTCCCTTTTCTCGTGAGCAATGTCAGGAGGGGATGGAGGCAAACAAAAGGTAGACTTGACCTTTCACCTAGGCTCAAGTGATGGGCCAGATAATGTTATTACTCCGATTCAACTACAAGGTGTCAACTATGATGAATGGGCTAGGGCTAGGGCTAGGGTTAGGACTAGGGCTGTGAGGACAACTTTGAAGGCTAAGCAGAAGTTTAGCTTTATTGATGGCACGGTTGCAAAACCGAGTGGCTCTAAGAAACTTGAGGATTGGGTGGCTGTCCATTCTATGTTGGTTTCTTGGTTATCTAATACCTTGGTTCCAATTGTACGGTCTACTCTTGGCTATGATGACGCGAAGTTGCTATGGGATAATCTTCGAAACCGCTTTTGTGTTGTGAGCGAGACTCGGGTTTGTCAATTGAAGACGACCTTGGTTGATTGTAAGCAAGGCAAAACTAAACTGATTTCTGTTTACTTTGGCAGATTATCGAAGAGTTGGGATGAACTAATCACGTATGTTTCGGTTCCTGAATGTAAGTGTGGTAAGTGCACATGTAACATTGTGCATCAGGTTGAAAAATTGAGAGAAGATGATTATGTTCACCACTTTTTGATTGGCATGGACTCTGCTTATGTGGCTATAAGGACTCAACTCCTAGCCCTTCCCTTGCAACTGGTGGACAAGCTTACCAATAGGCCATACAGGCTGAACGTTTGCGTGGAGGGGAAGTGACTGCTCCAACTGAAGATCGAAATAGCGTAGTGGAGCAAACCACGATCAGAGAGCAATGAAAGATTTTCACGAAGAATCCGGATATTTCCAGATTCATGATTTTCCTGACTGATGAGGAGATCGCCTCGTGGTTGGCGTGGACCAGGCCGTAGTGGTGTCTCGGCTGGACGAGGTGGAGAACGGACAGGTGGCAAGGGCAGGGGGGGTGGTCCTCTTCCTGCTCGGGGAACAAGACAAGAGGGAAGCATCTCTCGCAGTCCTCCCAAGGTGTTGCCGTATCTGCCTCGGACGGGGCATCCCTTGTATGTAGGGGTCGCGCCAGCTCAAATTCAGCAGTGTAGGGAATATTTCAAGCATCCCACACTTGAGTTCCACTGTGATCATACACTTAAGTATGGTGGCGTCCAAAGGGAAAGAACCTAGAGCAAAAAAGTCGCTAATAAGTTGTAGGAACTTGTAAATCGTTCACAGGGTGAAGGTTACACCCCATCACGATCCATGAGATCGCTAACTCCACAGTGGTTTGGAACCATGACTGGATATTCAGGGAAGAAGCTAGTTACAAGTCCAACCTAAAATAGATTTAACATGTCCTAAAAATAGGCATCTACTTTATTCTTCTCATATTCATGTGCGCTTTCTGACTAACATACAATCAATATATAAACCCTAAACCTGTTTAATTTATGTTGGTTGAATATTAATGCACAAACAAATCTATTATTGGCGATCACTTGAATTATAATCATATTAGCCTAAACAAGATTATTAATTATCTTATTAAACATGATTACAAATACAAATTCCCTTTAATCCTGCAAGAGAGGGCATGATCAAGCAATAACAATAATATCAAGCAACATAACAACAATCATCATAATAATCTCAATCTCATCAAAGCATAATATTAGCAAGATCTTAGGCATGATACTAACAAGATTAATAACAAATCCTCGTATGTCACTAAATACTAAAGATCAAATCTTTATCCCTAACATGATACTAACATGATAGATAGAAATAGAAAGCAACATAGATACATACATGATATTAGAAATATTAGTTAATACCTTAAACATGATACTAGGAATCATAAACACATCCTAACATGATAGTAGGAATTAAAATAATCTAATCATGCTTTCTATATTAAAAGAGTAATTAAATTTCTTACTTCGATGCCTCGTATATCTTTCTAGTAACAAAATACACGTTAGTAACTTCAAGGAAAATATTAAATCAAACAATTAAATAATTGAAATAGGGATTTGGGACCAAACCCTAAGAAATTATCAACCTTTCACGTCTAGGGCAAAGGCAACTTCGAGCTTGGTTAGGTATGTCTAGAACTTGTGAATGAAGTATGATGTATTTTGAAAAGGGCTAGACTTAGAAAAAGAATAGAGAGAGAGAATGCTTTTGCTTAGAGAGAGAAGAGAGATGATTAGTGATGATCAAGCTTGTTGATGATTTCAAAATGAAGAATATCGACCCTATTTATAGAGAAAATAGTCTGGAAACGATAGAATAGAGTTAGAATTTGAATAAAAATAAAATAGGTTCTATTGCAGAGCTGATGCGTGCAACAGGGTCTGTCGCGAAACGACAGGAATCACGCGGCGCGACATAGCTGTCATTTTGCGCTGAGACAGTTTTTGGCAAATTTTGTTTTTTATCATATTTTTTGATTTAGAAGTCTAAATAAGTCATATAATATGTAGTTGGAAAGCTCTTGAAGTCTACTTTTCAACTCAATTAGAATCAGATTAAAACCTTTTGTAAAATAAAAGATATATCCGAAATAGTAGAAGGGTTTTAGTTTTGAATAGAGTTTCGTATTTCTTTCATATCTTTTTCGTTATAGCTCAGAATTAATATTATAATATATCATTGGAAAGATAATTTCAAGATATATCCAACCATCTAAGATTTGGATAAAATTATGAAGCAAAATAAAAACAATATCTAATCATCTTTGAACGTCTTTTATTTCAAATAGAATTAGGACTTAAAAAAGGAAAGTTTTTATTCAATTTCAAATTCTTTGATCTTATATTTTCAAAAAGGATAATTAAGATCTTTTAGAAACTTATAGAAGCTTCTAATTTATTCTAATTCATTTATGAATGAGATTAATCCTTTGGACCCTCCACATGATCATTAGGCCGTAGGTAAAATCCGATTTGAGCCCAATTTAGTATTTTGGCCATAACTTCCTCATTATTCATCGGAATTGAGCTTATAAATATATCGTTGGAAATGTATTTTCAAGCCCCATCCAACTACAACATTATTGGACCCTTATCATGGACCAAACTAAACTAGACTTGACGTTTTCCATAAACAGAGTAGGAAAAGAAATATTTTCAAAAACTAAAAGAAATATTTTTGTTAAAATAGAAGAATTCACAAGTCTCTTTCACATTTCACCTTGTTCGATAATCAATGACGTGAAAGATATTCATCACTGGGTTTGGTTTTTTGGGAGACACAATTTGGTGTCTATAGAAGCCCCCACTTTGATTGAGTTTGGAGAAGCGCATGTTTTGAAAACAAAAGTCAAAGTAGCGATAGGGACGGAGAATGATTCAGAACGTTCTACGATCCTAAATCATTCTTGTAACGCCACTGCCTACAAACTAACATTAGTTAAAATAGATAAAAGAGTTAATAAGCGTGTATCTTGCATCGTCGAGTACGCGCCTCAGGGGTAACCGATTTTGTTGCTGCATTTTTGTTGTGATGACCTCCACAGTGCCTCATGAACGCCATCGTTGAAGACCGTTTCTTGTAGCCATCTTCAATTGTTTGTGAAAACTCTCCACACACCAGGGAACGTCGTCAAAGACCATTCTGCTTGTAACGATCCTCAATTTTGTTGTGACAATCTTCCATATCCTAGGGAACATCGTCTATCATTGCTGCTACATCACGATCTATTTTCTTGAATCAAGGTGACACCCTTCACAATCATAGCGAATGTCGTCGAAGACCGCCTCATCACAAACCGTTCTTCTCAAATATGGTTGACAACCTCCACAATCTTAGCGAACGTTGTCGAAGACCGCCCATGACAACCCCCGGAATCTTAGCGAAAGCCGTCGAAGATCGCCCATCTCGTGCCATCTTCTCATATCAAGTGATAACTTCCACAATCTTAGCGAAAGTTGTCGAAGACCGCCCATCTCGTGCCATCTTCTCAATTCTTGATGACAACCCCCACAATCTTGCGAAAGCCGTTGAAGATCGCCCATCTCGTACCATCTTCTCAAATTAAGTGATAACTTCCACAATCTTAGCGAAAGCCGTCGAAGATCTCCCATCTCGTGCCATCTTCTCAAATTGAAGTGAGAGACCCTTTAATCTTAGAGCCTCATGTCGAAGGCTTCTTCATCTTGAGCCTTCAAATCTTCTTTTCCATCTTTGGAAATTCATTTTAAGAACCATGTCTAAGATTCTTAAAGTCTTCAAATTGATTTGTGGAAGTCTTCCATCCTAGGAAGTCTTCAAATCACTACTCCAATGCTCTTAATCAATTTTCAAATATGTGTTATTCGATCGTCATTAGGCCGATCATCAATCAAGTTGTAATCAGGCTGACTACTAATCAAAGGTGTAATTATAAGCTGTTCATTTGATATGATCTTCATCAGGCCGTTCTTCAATCAAGTTGTAACCAGGCCGATTACCAATTAAATCAGAATCAAATTTTCATCACGAGGCTCAAATGGAATAGTCGCGGACCAACCAATCAAAGTTATGAGACCATCGAAGGCTGACGCGGGCGAATCAGAACCATCGCGCAACGACAATGCTATCGTGCAGCGACAGGTATGTCGTCCTGCGTCAAGGTGCATCATGCTGCACCAAGGTGTATTGTGCTGCGTTGGGGTGCATCGTGTTGCGTTGTGCTTGAATCCAAGTCAGAGTTTTTTTTTTTTTTTTTTTTTTTTTTTTCAAATTGCCTCTTAGTGTACCTACAGCTATGTTTTG